CTGCACACGGGGGAGGGGGGGGGAGGGCCCAACGGGGCTGAACCCAAACGGTGTGTTTCGTTTTCGCTTTCTTTTCGCTTTCCCTCGTTTTTTGTCTTCAGTCCACCTCTGCTGAAAGCGAAGTCGAAACGAAAACGGCCCACGAAATCGCCAAAACACCGTTTAGGCCCAGCCCTGCCACAGGGCACCAGGCTTGGAAGGAGGAGGAGGAGGAGGAGGAGGATGACGTGCTCGCTCGCGTTCGGCGCGACCTGCTCTCGGCACGTTTACTCCGCCTCCCGTGGCACTCCCCCCCGGCCTGAGGCGGAGGCGGCAAGACTCCACCGTTTGGGTCCAGCCCTGGGGCCCACGGGGGGGGTCGGGAGCGGGACGCGCACGGGCGAGAAGGGGCGAAGGCACAGCGGCGAGGACGCGGACGAGGCGCGCGAGGAGCATCGGGAGGACCGATGGGTCGAGAGGGGGGAGGCAGGCACAGCGGCGAGGACGCGGACGAGGCGCGCGAGGAGAATCGGGAAGACCGATGGGTCGAGAGGGGGGATCGGGAGGGCCGGGCTCGAAGCGACGAGGATGAAGGGGAACTGGGGCACAGAAATAAACAGACACAGATGACCAGACTCCCCATATCTTCCCACATGTTCTGGGTCACTGTCTTCCCCCCCACTTCCCACATCTCCCAATATTTTCTGTGGGATCGGCGATTCATGGTGTCTGTGCTCTTTCCCCTCCCGAGAGGAGCACGGAGTGGACCGAGAGGCACCAGGAAGACGAGAAGGGCGAGGGCGAGGGCGAGGCCGACGGGCAGGAAGAGCCAGGGGGGAGGGCAGCAAGAGGAGCCACGGGGAGGGGGAGGGGGGGTCGGGCCGCTCCCCGTGCCCTCGCGTCCCCGCGAAGGCCCTGGGCCAGCACGAGGACGAGGCGGGGTGGACCGCGACGACGAGATGGCGGGCGAGGCCCCCCCTCGCGCCCCGCCCTCCCGCTGGGGCCCTGGCTGGCCACACCCGCGGGCCCGAACGCCGAGTACGCATCAGGCTTGCGCGTGTGGACGCGTGCGTGTGCGTGTGCGTGTGCGTGTGTGTGTGTGTGTGTGAGAGAGAGTGAGTGTGTGTGAGTGTGTGTGTATGTGTGTGCGTGTGTGTGTGTGTGTGTGTGTGCGTGTGTGTGCTTTGTGTTCCTCGCGCTGGTCGTTTCCTCTTGCCCTCGGCTGTCCGCCGCGGTCTCTGCTCGCTCCTGCACTTGCGCCGGGCTGCTCGTCGCCGTCGGCAGTGCCATGCCGCCGTGGGGCAGCTCACCGGTGCACACTTTTTCTCCTCGCTGCCCATGCCCAGGCAGCTTATGCGTATTCCTTAGGAGGAGGAGGAGGAGGAGGAGGAGGAGGAGGAGGAGGAGGAGGAGGAGGAGGAGGAGGAGGAGGAGGAGGAGGAGGAGGAGGAGGAGGAGTTGGAGGAGGAGGTTTTGCGAGCCTTTCCCACGGTCTTGCGTGTTCCCTGTCTGCCATACACGCCCAAATGGCCGATGCCGGCAGGTTGCATCCTAGGCGATGCTGAGGGCCCGGCCGCCGCGCACGTTGCGTATGTCTGCAACACGTTCTCCGCCTCGTGGCCGCGCGCGCGGCCGCGATCACCAAAAATTGTGTCCCTTGCCTTGCTGGTCCCTTGTCGTCCTGATTCTGGCCGGCTTTGGCCATCGGTCCACCGTGTGAATTCATTGCCCCGCCACGGCCCGTGAGGGCCTGGCGACTGCCGCGCCGCTGCCCCGTGTGGGCCCGGCCACTTCCTGTTGTCCCGCCGGCGCGCGCGCGCCGACAATCCTCTACTCGCCATGCAGTCGTTCCAGCCCACGTTGACCACAAAAGTATGTGTATGTGCGCGCGCAAACGCGCTGGCTTCACTGTCCGCCCACTACGTTGGGCCTTTCCCAGCACGCCCGCTCGCCAAGCGCAGCCACCCAGTCGCAACGCCCTGTGGATTTCTCGCTGGCCCGCAAAGCGTTCTGGCTCTCGCCACGGTGACCTCACCTGGCTGACAGAGCAAAACAAGTGTGCACAAGCATCCCTTTCCGTGAGTCCTCATAGCGTGGCTCCCTACGGGTGAACCATGATTTGCGCTTCCTCGCCGGGGCTCCTTAGGAGTGAGCGCGCAAAGTGCGCTGTTCGCTTGGGACACACGCTGGCCGTGCCAGATCCCGCACAAACTGCACTGCACAAACCAGCGGTCGGCTACGCTCGAATATCACTGGGGCTCACTCACCTTTTCAGCTCCACCTCCACACGAGGTGGTCACAATCTACTTTGAGAGCATAGCCCGCCGTTGTGCCAGGACGTCCGCCTAGTGCATCCCATCGGTGCGCCTCCTCCTCCTCCTCCTGCTCCTCCTCTTCCTCTTCCTCCTCCTCCTCCTCCTTCTCCTTATCCTTATCCTCCTGGCACGTAGCATCGGGTCTCCTGGATGTCCAACCACGAAAAATAGCCGCCAACCTCATCCTGGCCAGCTCTGAGCCAACCTGAAGCAACATTGAGTCGCAAATCCGTCTGCGGCTGGACGGGGAGCTTGCGCACTGTTACATGAAAAGCGGCGCACGATCCTCTTCCTCCTCCTCCTCTTCCTCCTCCTCCTGCTCCTGCTCCTCCTCCTGTTGCTCCTTTTCCTCCTTGTCCTCCACCTCCTCCTTCTGAGGCACTGAATCATCATTAATGGCAGTAAGTCTCCTGACGTTACCTACCATCCCCCTCCCAGGGCCAATCGGCCCTGGGGGGTGATCAAAGTAAGAGCCAGGCGACCCTTGGACCGTTCGTTCCATGAGTAGACGGCGCGTGGAGATGCTGTAACAGTGAGGGGAAGCAGACAGACGTGCGAGAAGTCCTCTTCCTCCTTCCCCTCGTCCTCCTCCCCTCTTCAAAAGCCTTTACAGCGGCTCATTTCCACTGAAGGAACTGCCTCGTTGGAGGACAAACGTTTAAAGAGCCTGGGGCGTGCAAGGACCATAGTCTCGGGACTCCTACTCCGCTGATCAACCTGACTATTGCGTATTGGCGATCCTGAAACCGTACCAGAACGCCATTCCCAGGACATCAGTACGCGAATCCTAATAACTGTTGCGCCCTCGCAGTCCTGAGATTTAACCTTGGGCGCCCGTGGAACTCCTGCAACTGTTTGAAACTACATTTTGAGATAGAGCCGCCCTCAATCCGTGAAGCTCTTGAAATAGTGATAGCGAATGAGCGGTGTGCCTATGTTTTGTCAGATTAGGCTAAAGTTTCTTGATATTAATGGGTTCATGGTGTTCTTGCGCATGATATTAGTGTGCGTCTTGTTCTAAAAGGGCGCGGTGAGATCCCGGCGAACTGACAACGTGCCCCTGGCCATGGCTTAGCGCCCGTTAGGCGGACGTGCTAAAGTACGCGTTCATGCGTTAGCTGGTCGGCCGGAAGAGAGGGAGGCTGGGCGCGCGCTTTACCTTGCAGCAGATACTGGCCGCGGAATTAGCTCAGCCCCTCCGCGCCCATTCCTAGCCCCGCCGACCCTATAATGTGAGGGTCGCGCAGGGCAGCTTAAACAAGCGAGGGGAGCGTTATGAATGACTCCCCCTGCGGCCTCCCGGCGCGGCCATGCCGCGCACGGGCGGGCGTCGGCGCTTTGGCTAGCGTCCCGGGCAAAAGACGCGGGGCGCGCCAGAAGGCATCGGCAGGCCCCGAGAGCGCAGGCCTGCCTTCACCCCTTGCCAAAAACAACTTTGGACCCCCACGGCGCCGACCCCAAAAAGTCCCACCAGCCCTTTGGGGCGTAGGTGGTCTAGGGAGTTTCCTCTGCCAACCCCCTTCTTCCCCTTCGGGGAGAGGTTTACCCCTCCCCTTACCCCTCCCCACTGACCTGGACGGGGCCGGTCGCGAGGTGTCAGAGCGTCCAAGATGGCCCAAGACAGCTCCAAGAGCGAACAGGCGAGAAAACACAAAACATTGATTTTACCTAGGTTTTGGAAGGATTTTGGCATCTTGGGGGGGTCCAAGAGGCGACTCGAGGCACTCTGGAGGGGCGGGGCTAATAAGGAACCCCCCCTTCTTTGATAGATCTCCTCCAAGATGGCCCAAAGAGCGCCCCGAAGGCTCCCAAGAGCGCCCCAAGAGCGCCTCAAGAGGGCCCCAAGAGACCCCAAGAGGCCCCCAAGAAGCCTCCAAGACGTTGCCAAGAGACCCCCAAGAGGCCCCAAGAGAGTCCAAGATGACCCAAGACGGCTCCAAGAGCGAAAACGCGAGAAAACACAAAACATTGATTTTACCTAGGTTTTGGAAGGATTTTGGCATCTTGGGGGGGTCCAAGAGGCGACTCGAGGCACTCTGGAGGGCCGGGGCTAATAAGCAACGCCCCCTTCTTTGATAGATCTCCTCCAAGATGGCCCAAAGAGCGCCCCGAAGGCTCCCAAGAGCGCCCCAAGAGCGCCTCAAGAGGGCCCCAAGAGACCCCAAGAGGCCCCCAAGAAGCCTCCAAGACGTTGCCAAGAGACCCCCAAGAGGCCCCAAGAGAGTCCAAGATGACCCAAGACGGCTCCAAGAGCGAAAAGGCGAGAAAGCAACAAACATTGATTTTACCTAGGTTTTGGAAGGATTTTGGCCCCTTGGGGCGCCCAAGAGGCGACTCGAGGCACTCTAGAGGGGCAGCGCTAATTGGGGAACCCCCCTTCCTTGATAGATCTCCTCCAAGATGGCCCCAAGAGCGCTTCGAAGGCTCCCAAGAGCGCCCCAAGAGCGCCCCATGAGAGCCCCAAGAGGCCCCAAAAGGCCCCCGTGAGGCCTCCAAGACGCCCCCAAGAGACCCCCAAGAGGCCACAAGAGGCCCCCCGAGATACGCAAGAGGCCCCCGGGACCGCCAAGAGGCCCCAAAGACGGCCCAAGAGGCCCCCAAGCTCGCCATTGTCCTCCTCCTCCTCCTCTTTTTCTTCCTCCTCCCTCCTCCCCCTCCCCCTCCTCTCCTCCTCCTCCTCCTCCTCCTTCTCCTTTTCCTCCTTCT